GTGTACGGTCCACGTGAGGGTGCTAGGCTCAAATATTGGTTCCAGCCAGTGTGGAGCGGATTACGATCCACCCACCTCCTAGTGTACGCCTGGTACGAATGATTTCCCCATAAGGCATGAATGCTGCCGCTCTCCTTGTTGAAGGACTATAGGCCGGCTTCCTCTCATTCATATGCTTCTGGTTTACACTGGATATGGGGTGTGTGTGTGGATGGAGCTGTGGGTGGTGCAGCGAAGCCACCCGTGGTCCCTTATAAAGCACAGGAGTCCTGTGGCTGTCATGCGGAGGCCGCAGTGCCAGGCAAATTCGGAAACGGATGTCGCGAACTAGGTATGAACTTACGCAGCTGTGTTGCTTGAATGTGTAAATGTGAAGCTGCGTTTGGGATTGTGTCCAGTTAAGTCACCGACATAAAAGGGTTCAAAGTTATCATTCTGCTTGGAAGACTAACTTCCATGGAGTGAGGAAGGTGGTCCTGATAAGCGGAAGGCGGCGACTTTCTTTAATGGCAAGTCACAGCTGCCACGTCGCTATATTGTTAAACAAGCTTATGTGGCTTTATATCGGCGGTAACCAACCAAGTCCTGGTACTCTGCGCCAAGCTGTTTTCTGGAACAGGAGTAAACCCAACCATCCAGCTGACCATCCAGCTAATTGGAATTGCTGTCCAAGTTGAGATCGCTCGACACAAACCATCTACACAACGAATGCATAAAAATGACCTTCCTACCGGTCAATAATTGTTTACAAGGCTGCCATTCAAAGAAGATCAAAATGACAGAAGATTCCAGTAACGTCTCCGTCAATTTACAAAAAGGTCTTAGTACGCTGCTGAGCTTGTGATTTTGCACCAAGTTAAAAAGTTGCTGGTTAAATCCAACCTGGACAAGCAAGGCTCTCAGATTACCGCCTCATTCATTTGCCTGTTTAATTGTACTTGCGGCAGTGAGTACGTCGGCGGAACGGAAAGAAGACTGTCCACAAGGATTTTAGGGCGTATTCCGCGTAACCTTGTCGTGAATGGTCCGAAGATGTCCGCCAGTTCAATCGCCCGACACATACTTGACTGCCCCATGTGTGAAAACTTAGGTGAATCTTTTAGGATAATCAATCTAGAGAGCGCCGCTTTGCTACTTCAGTTCGCTGAGGCTTCGACAATTAGGCGGCTGAAACCCAGTTCGTGTAAAGAGACCGAGTTCGTCGCCAGTCTCGCCCTGCCTTGGTGAGGCTGGTGACTACATTCTTCTAAGCGGAATGCCGACCAGCATCAGATAAACTTTGACCACTTTCTATTATCCAATGACTTCACCCCTTGAATGTCTCTGTATGCAGCCTAAGCACTCCACTACCTGAATGTAAAGGACTGATGAGAATATGCCAAATAGCTGAACTCATATTCTCCTGACAAAAGTTTGTTCTTACTTGCTATTTTGAAATGTTTGAATAAAAAATCTCGTATGAAAGAATTGTTTTGACAAGTGTTACCTGTCGTTAGCAGGTGGGCGAAGGAGTAGATAGATGATTTTCTTTGGTGAGACTACCCACGGTATCTAAAGCATCGCGGCAGTTTTGACAGCACTAACTGATCCTATATTAATTACTCTCCATGGCACGATGGACGGTGTCTCCGTCATCTTTGTGACAATAATGAACCAGTATTTTGTCAATCCTTTAGCAGCTCTAAGTTTCAGGTGAGCATGGATAAAGCATGTGTTATCGACGCATCATCAAGCATAACCCCTCGTATCGGATTATGAGTCACCGGGGTCAGGTCGGCCGGTGACCGAGTGGTCTGCTCGCCTGGCTTGCAATCAAAAGGTCACCGTGTGTGTCGTTTTGCACAGGGATTAAACGAGAAAATATATTTGAAAAGCAGGGTAAGAAGACGAAAACTGGTAGATGCATGCATTTCGTATTGTCTCCTCAGTACCATTAACCATAACCGGTATGCAACCATATACTTAAATATGTGTGTGACCGAATAAGCATAAGGTGAAAAATGAATGACGGAAGTTCCACACTTATGTCCACGGCAGTCTTAAGCTGATAAATAATTGCTTCTGAACACACAGGGCCGGCTTCATCCGGCTTATCGCAACGGCCTCGGCGAAACGGAGGAAGCGGGGATTAGGGTGACGTAATACAAGTGTGAACGCTGATCCGAGAAAATATATGTTCTACCTTGCTTTGAGACCACTGGATTTAATCCATACGTCCGTGAACATGAAGCGAAAGGAGAGAGGCGCCAAAACTGCACGTTCTTGGGCGTACGACCGTTACAGTAAGCTTTTGTCACAGGTAAAGTAGAATTTTGAAAATCCATTTATCCATGTATATGGGGTAGGAACTTCCCACTTGCTTGGGGCAAGGAAGAGTGTTGACTTAGTTGACGCCACCCAAATCCCTGGGCCTTATATTCCTAGCCCACAAACAGCATTGTACTTACCGCAAATCGAAAACCTTCGGTAAAATCTAACTAAGTTCTGCTTACCATGGCTTCCGAATAGTAAAATTACTTAGCGAACTAAAAGGCCAGATCACGGCAATCAGAGACCAGGGCACTTTTAATGAAACATCGGCTGGCTGTCCGATGCGATGACAATTGACAGCTAGTTGGCTCATACGCTTTCTTATGATTTAGCTAGGTTCACATAGAAGCCGGCGTTCATCAAGGTTATTCATCTGCCTTCCGCTAGGCACTCACACTGGTTACGAAAGTAAGTGATCAATGACTCTATAGTCGGTCACATTGACTTTGACATACGAGCTGTTATAATATTCTACGAGCAAAATGACGCGGTCGCTAATTGTGCGCGGGCAATTGCTCGTCTCAACTGCAAAGTAAACGTGACGTTTCCGAATATATCTTCACAATGATGGCATTCTTCAATACACAACTTGGGAACCCGGGTGCAGCTCAGCAACAGGGTTATGACCACTCCCTCAGACAATGAGATATTGCCTTTGTGCATCTCATATGATTAGGTCCCATTTACAGAGAACAACTACAGATTAACCTGTTTGGGATGAACTGCAGGACAGAAACATCTAGGTCATAAAATAGACGCAAACTTCAGATAACAGCTCGTGGTCAACTAGTAGTACGGTGCGGATTGCCAGATATATTCTTTTTGCTGTGTTCGTCAACCTGAATGTAATTAAAAGCCGAATAACTATAAGTAATATATGTAAAATATAAGTAAACCGGATGTGCGTGCAAACTTGCTGAAGCGACAGTGTCCGACAGGGAGCATAAGATGGACTGGAGTTGAGATAGTCGCGTTTACTTTTCGTCAGCTTAACCACAATAAACAAAGAACATAAAATGTGGAGGTGCGAATGCGAAGGAGAAAATGCGACATTAACAACCGTCAAAGTCCCAGAGTTGACAGTTGATCTATCGATTAGGATAAAAGTATTTTCTCTCTAGGAATGTTGAAATCAGTGTGAGGGATGACAGTGACTTACTTATGTTGCACTTAACAGCACACCTTTAAAGCCCAATGATGTAGGCTGCTGTGATAGTTCACTTGTAAACATAGGTCGATGTTCCTAGCCCAGCCCTCCACTCGAAGAAACTACACCACATTCGTACAATCTCCTTTTGAGCGCAGCCCTGTTTGCTGTTCTTCAGTATATATTCAATGTCATGCATACACTCGCAGCTTGCACTAGAGCGTTGCTACTCAATGTAGCAGCATGGAGATTTCCCCGGTTTTCTTGTATAAAATTCTAATTAAAATTACTGTTGCACTGTAAACTTAAGCTGCCCGTGCAGGTTGTTGAAGTGGTTGTTCACTACGATTGCTTGAGTCGAGCATCTCTTTTACTTGGCCTTCGTTTCGATTGCATCGCGCGAGCGATCTTGTGTGCCGCACCTTTTAATTCCCTCTAACAGCCGTGTTAACGGCGCGGTTTTTGATAGCTGGTCCTACAGGGAACCTTTTGTTATATAAAATAAATTTTCCCCTGCAACTCCACCTACCTGTTATTGTCCTTATCTGTGCTCCCGCTTAAACTCATGTTCTTAGCTGTTTCAGAATCCATTAATTTACTCCATGACGTACGTATATAAGGACTTATTGACTAGACCATTGATCGTTTCGCTTTATTTCGCGTCTGATTGCAAAGCTTTTAGCTGGCTCTGTGACTACTTATAGGTCATTTGGCTGTTACTTCCGTTTTCAAGTCAATGCAATATTTGCTCTGTGTAACCGAATGGGTGCAGGCTCAGCATTTTACACTATCATCAGCATGCGGACAAAATTTAGCGGCATCAAAAATGCAGAATTTGGTAAACTGTCTCGCTTTCCACAGAAACAATCGCACAATGCCGAGCAGTCTTCGGGCTTTGCATTTAATAAGCGGTGGAGATTAACTAAGATTTTTCGTCATAATTGGCTTCGTTTTGCGTACATTTGCATGTGCAAAAGCAATGGATCAGAGATCGTGAGCAGATATCATCCGGCATAATCAAAATGTGGATAGACTGGGAAGATCAGAATGACCTCGGAAATAGTTTGAACATAGTCTACGTCATAAATTCCTGTAAAACTGATATTTCTCGGTAGACAGCTTATGCAACATGTTTGGTGAAAAAGGAAACGGTCGATTTAACGTCCTCGGCTGCTTGCTTTATAACCAATTGCTAGCTGAGCACAGAACCGCCTTGCTATCGGTGGTCTGGATTTTGCTAAGCGTCGTGATGGCGCCACGTATATGTAATATGTTGGTAGCACTTTAGCATCCAAACTGATCAATTTCGGTGGGAATGTACCGTATGCGCATATTCTTCGCTAGTTTAAAAGCACGTAGTGATTGGTAATAAGATCAAGAAAGGGTGCTAATCAAATGTATCTTAAAGCTTTTCGGTTTCATGCAAATAGTTGTTTCGAACGTGGTATAGGACAACAGTTTGGAAGCAGAAATACCCACATCACCACTAGACTCATCATTAAAAGTGCTATCGATATTGCTTTTCCTCCTGTCCACACTTTAGAACCTTATGAGAACGTATGAACATCAATCTTGTAATCTTCACGATGAATTGAGGAGAGCTCAAGAAGATTTTAAGAAACTGACTGTGTTACGAGATTCTGCTGTTCATCAAAAAGGTTTGTCGACGATAATACGTTGAGAAATTTGGTTTTTATTATCTGCTGACATTACTAATCTCAAATCCTTCTTGAAGTTGCCTTAGTACGGTTTTAACAGGATTTCCATCCCCAAAGAGCATTGTGCGTTCTACATAACTGTGAAAACGTCTCCCATCGTACAACTCAATCGGCAGCTAAGTAGCATTGAGTAGGTTGTAATGAATACCTCCCCATGATAAATGAACAGCACTGAAGTGTGTTCACCATGCGGCTCTCGCAGACCTGAAGTCGCCTTATAGTATCAAGTTTATTCCTGACCAGCGCTTTTCTATTAAGTGCAAGTGGACATTCGATGAAAACCATACTGCTAAAACTCACGTCTTCGTTAATGTCAAGCTGCGTCATGCTGCTCCTATTCCCCGATATGTGTGTCAGTCAGACAGTCGAAATCAGGATGAGTGCCATTTAGCGAACACCGCATTCCAAAAATTGGTCAAGTAGTTTAACCTACCGTGTAGAGCTGAAGTCCTCCAACTGCTGTCGAGGAAGAAACCATCTGGTGCCCAAAGGAAGGGTCTATTAAAGTTAAACTCTTTGCATTAGATAGATCATGTCTTCCATATGCAACGGGATCGATTTCCTTAATGTACCTAACATGCAGCCACAACGCTTGGTTTGATGAAATTTTTTGGTGACTAATCTATCGCACAGACTGAATATAGGAAAAATCGACCGAATGATACGAATCATCTTCGCGGATTGGAAATTTGTAACTGGCTACAACTGCTTTCTGGATTTATTAATTGGCATGGCTTAGTTCTGCGCTAACTTGCACTCAAGCATTTGGTCTTTCGCATGATGTTTATAGCATTCAATCCTGTTTAAGCGCAAGCACGTTCTTCTCATATATTATCTCGCATTCGGTTTATGCTCTGGTAGATCTTCCACTTTGTATCCTACTCCGAATAAAACGCTAGCGTCATCTGCATGAATCCCAGTACAACCAAAAGAAAACTCATAAATCAACTGACTATGAAAATATAACGCCACCCAAAACACTGTACAAGTGGGTTAGACACTAACCGCATCTTTAGTTCGCCCAATAAGTCCCGGCTTCCAGAAGAGAATGATCAACTATTAAAATCGAAAATGTCATACTGATTTAGCCGGTACTCAGAATGTTGATTCTTCATGTGCAGCGTTTTAGAGTTATGTAACGTTTGAAATGGATAAAACGATCTAGAGCTATTTGATTAATTGCGCAGGTAATGATTTTCGGGAGATACGCAATTTCTCCAGAACATACTCCGTAGTTCTCCCTGTGATCTTTTATGTTCGCTATTCTGCTGTCAATAATAGCTTTAAATGGGTCTCGAGAAGGAACGGCAACAGCACAAATTAAGCAAACACCTTTTTTCTCATCAGACCTAATACAGAATTATACTTTATCAAAGGCTAACACCATGGGAGTGTACGGAGTAAACATTGCTTGGAGGAAAGTAAACAGTTAACCTGAAACGCGTTGGGCCATCAGGTGATTGGCCGCATGTGATTTTGTTGGTCGGGATATAGTTTTGCTCGTTTGACTATTGTTTACCGAAGTTTCATCATCATCATTATCATCATCATACACGTTAGCTAGAGGTGGGGAACACTTCAGCTACTGTGCAGCAATACGTAGAAAAAAGGAGAGAAAAAAGCAACTGGTGCAAGCTGGCTGAGCTACCGGTAACAGATGGGCATCGTTCCGTTAAGCGAACAGCTGGCTATTGTGCATCAAAAAACAATTACTATGCAAAATTATATAAGGCTAAATAATGAGATCTTGGTTGGAGGAGGAGGCTAAGAGGGATACGGTGTGACAAGGAAACTCACAGCACGAACGCCACTGAGGTCGGCTCCTAGCCACATCAGCAAGTGTGTCCAACTAAACGTGTTCATCGTCTTTCGGACCCCAACCAGGGAGCCGAGACGTTCCAACCGAGGCCAGCTCAGAAGTGAGGGCCTTCATTCCTCTTGCCCAAATCATCCCTTGGCCACCCCTCCTCTTCTTCCATCCACATCTCCGGTGAGCAAACAACGCAAGGCGCCTTCGTCGGTGGGCTGAGATGAGTAACACGTGGCCGAGATATCGGAGCCTGGTGCGTGAAAGGACGGTGCTGAGCGGTTCATTTCCTTTTCCTGTGCCATAAACAAGGCATCGAACACGCTCGTTGCTCACGCGGTGTTCCCACCAGATGTGAGCTAAATTGCGAAGGCACCGATGGTCGAACGTAACTAGCCTCTTCAGGTCCGCTGCTGCTTTAAGCGGCCAGGTTTCACAACCGTACAGTAGGGTCGAACGTACTGCTGCATTGTACACTCTACCCTTCAGGGCAAGAGTGATGTCGAGTCTGCGCCATAGATGGCGAAGGTTAGCAAAAGCGCCCCGAGCTTTTGCTATAAGATTCGTGACCTCATCTTCAATCCCAAGGGCGCTGATACAACTTCCTAGGTGGTTGAATTATTTAATGACTTCTAGCTGATCCTCATCAAAGTTCAGCGTAGGAGGAGGGTGCGCAGCAAAGCCCGAAATGACGGACAGTTAGTCCTAATCTGTCCAGGGCCGCTTGGCACGTTTGTGAGCTGTCACAGATAAGGACAACATCATCAGCACAATCTAAGTCAAAAATTCGTTCTCCTGGGAGCAGATGCACACCTTCTATGTCGTGTCCTGTAAACGCGATTTCCACGACTTCGTCAATAGCGAAGTTGAAGAGGAAAGGTGACAGCGGCATCCTTATTTCACGCCGCTGGAGAAATTAAAGGGCGACGACAACTTGCCATATGCCATCACTCTGCCTGAGCTACGTGCATAAAATGCTCGGATGTAATTCACATATTTCTCAGGTACACCTTTCCTGAGTAGACAGTCCCAAAGTGCATGTGTGTCCACTGAATCGAATGCACCTTTGATATCGAGGAACACGACAAGGGTGGTCCGCCAATATACGTGACGGTGCTCCAACAACTGAGGCAAAGTGAAGATGTGGTCAATGCAGCCACGACCTTGACGAAATCCAGCTTGCTCTTCACGAATCTGGCTTTCACGAGTGGCAGTCAGTCTGTGAAGGATAACAGAGGCAAGCAATTTGGAGGCGATGGAGATCAGACTGATTCCTCTATGGCTGCCGTATTCCGATCGTGTGCCTCCCTTAAAATTGGGACTATGACGGAGCGGCTGCAGTCGGTTGGGACAGTTTCCTGCTCCCACAGTTTGACTAGTAACTCGTGTAAATCATCTATAAGAGTAGGTCCCCCGAATTTGAAGTGGGGCGGAGGAAGATCATCAGGTCCCGCGGCTTTATTTAACTTCAACAGTTCGATTTAACTTGCAACTTCCGAGCGAGACGGGGGATCCAAAGGGCAGCTCACGGAGAAGGGAGATCACTGGCCGGCGAGAAATCTAACAATTCTGACCGATTAAATTGCTTACCAAATTGCTCAGCCCAACGCTGTAAGTGTTTTGATAAGTTGTGGATAGTCTGTCCACTCTCGTCACGTATAGTTTCACTAATACCAGGTCTCTTGCTCCCCGTTTCCCGTATCAGACGGAATAACTTACCATGATTACCAAGGGCAGTGGCCATTTCCATCTCTGCTGCAAGATTAGACCACCAGGATTCGCGATCTCTCTTCAGGCTAGCATGGAGTTTTGCTCGGCGTTCTTCGCTAGTTTCACTGTGTTCGCTTCTAGCCGGAATATGCCGGCGGGTATCGATAACTTCCAGAGACTGTGAAGAGACCCAATGTCCATGTTGGCGGTTAGACACCACATGAGGATTTTCCTGCTGCTAATAAGGTCTGATGAATATGAGACCAGTGAGCTTCAACTGCATCCAGTGAGCGTTTATCCAAATCGCATGGCAGCGTACTTTGTTAGGCATTCGGAACGGTTAATTTCGCATTTGGCCTGTGTCCATGCGGTCACAACGCCGTCGTGGGCGTCCGCCAAAGCGCATCCGCTGGTCAGCACACACAATTGCATGCTCGGTGTCCACATCTGTGCTCCAAATCGAGCGACAGTTCTGGACGCAGCCTCTCCATCGGTAATTTAACGCTATGTGATCGATTTGCGTCCATAGCTGGTTCGAGGCTGGCGGGCGCCAAGTCACCCTCCGGCGGGTGCTGTGTCTGAAATTAGTGCTCACAAGAAATAAACGAGCATCCTCCCACAAATGAAGTAACCGCTCACCGTTATCATTACGGGAGCTTATACCTTGTTGGCCACCCAGATGCAGCTCATCTGTGGATAATTTCCCAACTAAGACGTTCAGATCCCCGGCCAGCACTACAGTGTCCGAGCTTCTCCCTTGGCTAAGGAGCTCGTTCAGTTGACGATAGAAGTCGTCTTTTACCTAGTCATCGCTACAGTTTGTCGGTGCATAGGCAGCGATAACGAATAGATACCTGTTAGTCCCACGCGACTTCAAAGTTTTGAACGAGCCAGCCAATCGGAGCTCACACATCCGGCTATTGATTGGAATCCAATCAACCAGAGCAGCTTCAGCCCGGGGACTCAGGGCAATACCAACACTGGCTTGGCCGGTGCTTGGAGCTGCATCGTCACCGGATAGGCGCAACGAGAAAGTGCAGCTAGTGTCACCTGAAGGGGATAGCAGAGTGAGTATAGAGGTCGAAGTTTCAACGCTTCATTGAGAATCTTTAGAATGCATAACTTTGGTCATGCCAAGATTTTGCGCACCTCAGCCTCAAAAGAGCACTGTTGCATACACTGACAAGTGCGTGCGCAGATGATCTGTGGCGAAAGGATTATTGGACGCGAACTGAAGCTAACCAAACACAAGGTTTTTGAATACATTTACCCGGAACACTAGATTGGCGTTTAAATAAAGCGCAGTGGCCATTGGACTCTTGTGAAAACAGTTGAAAATCAATAGCCTTTTCATAATATTCCCTTTATGATTGGAATCGCTGATGAGGTCTGTTCACGAAGATGATCGTAAATCAGCAAAATA